TTTTTGAAAAGACTTGCTATCCAATTCTTTAATGTATGTTAGTCACAACACGAATATGGATTGTTTACCCTCCAAACGGTAGCATTTCTCTGGATTTTTGCTTTGGTAGCCTCTTTGTTGACTAGTTATTTATACTTTTCTTTGCTTCCTCATTTAGCCTTTGCACTTTGGTCCTCTTAGATTTCCATATTTATGCTTGAAACCCTGCAAAATGTACAACAAAGCATTAACCCTAATACTTTATAAATTAATCATTTTATCCTAGTTTACGCACACAGTTAATCCTAAATCCTGATTCAATTATGCATTCTTTAGGATTAATCACTAGACTATCTAGTGACCTAAACAATAGTTTCTATTTAGCAACTAAGAATGCCAGTATAACTTCTAAAATCTAAAACTCCGACATTCCAACCTAATTTCATTTGTGTGAAAACTGATATATGTTTAAAGTTGACTTAAAATCTATGACTCATTAACTACCAACTAGCTTAGTGCTCTTTAGAAAAATGAGTTACACTCTTCACACGCAATTTTGTTTTTTTTCCCATGACCTAAGAATTTAAAGGTTAGGCTTCAAGTATTACATGGGTACCATGGGTCATAGGTTAACTAAGTTTTCATTGCGAGAATGTATAAGTTGAATATGGTATTAGAGGGTTAGGTTATTGATTCTATAGACTATCCTAGGTTTAGCTACTTAGGATGATAACCTACGGGTTGAGGAAAGAGTGATTTTATATAGTTAGTATTTTATTAGATAACACATTCAGTAAATCGGGTTGTTACATCTGGTACCATCCAGACACGCCTAGCAATTTCATTCTAGTGAGCTTGAACCATCGGGATGCGCCTTTTTGGATCCAATGTGCAAGTTTTGGATGAGGAAGACTCTTTTTGGCAACAAAGTGTCTCAAGTCTAACCCTAGACCCGTTAACACACATCAGTTCATAACAAAAATTCTAAAATACACAGTGAAGTCAAAATAGTTTGATATAGATATAACCAATGTTAGTACAAAAGATCAAATGTAACAACTTTAGGACAAAATTGAAGGTTTTCTATTCTAAGTCATTACAACCTAACTAGATGTCTTCCTAAAAACAAAAAATAAATAAATAAATAGCTAATCATCTTAACCTAACTAACTACTTAGACCCAAACTCCTCCTCTTCCTTGTGATCCTCAAATCCAGCCTCAACCTCCTCCTCATCATCATTACTACTATCTATTGAACTGCATCTCTCGGCTCAAACACAAATGCTAGAGGTGGTGCTAAAGTAGCTGGAGCAGCAGCCCCTAAAGTGGTAGCTCCAGATATGGAAGCTGGTGGAGGAAAACTCTGTGGTGTTTCCCCAGGGGCCAAGATCTCAAACAATCATTTCTGCATCCTTAAAGAAAGCTCTAAATCCCTAGCCATCTATGCCTATTTCTCCCAAATTTCATAAATATTAGATTCCGTACCACCCATCCTCTCCTCTAGCCTCGTCACTCTCTAATGAATAGTAGCTCTCGAGGTCAGTGGAATGGTAGTAGCTGCAGAAATTGAAGGTGCAGTTGGGGTAGAAGGTTTATCCACTCTAGTAGCTCTAAACTTGGTGAAACTCTTCCTCTTACTAACACTACTAATGGGCACCTTCTCTGGAGGAGTCAGTTGATTTGTCTGTGTCCTCCACACATTTGCACTGACACATAGTTTTGTAACCATGTTGGCGAAAGGTATACTCCCTCTAGGCTTACTCTTTGAAATGTAATCCCTAATCACACCCCATATGAATAATGTTATATCAATCCTCGATCCATTCATCACCTCATGCAGTAATACAATCTTATGTAAAGTGAGCCACTTCTCGGACCCTTTAGGATACATATTATAGTGCAAAATCTTGTTTATAGTCCGATACTCTGCAACCCAAACTAAAATGACCATCAAACAGCCTAAAATCCTCATCCATAATCTACACATACTATAGGAGACTCCTGGTAGTAAACTCAAGGTACGGGTAATCAATCTCATCAGCCGGTGGCCTAATGTACCCTAAATACTTGGCTATACTATCCGGTATAACCTCAATAATACGGCCTTGCACTGTGTTCTTCAAAATCTTAACCTCAGAATTGACTATATTCAATCCACTATAAAATTCATGACATAAAGTAAGGATGTACCCTCAGACTGGCTCGAAAAAGTAATCAAGTCCTAGCTGCACTATCTGTCACACTGGCATGGTCTTACCCAACCTATTCAGGTCAACCATACACTCACAAGTGGCTACCCTCTCTGTAATAGTTGACTCATAAATGGCCCTTTGTCGTTTCCTAGACTCGGGCTCCTTGGGTTCAGCCTCACCATCTCTCTGAGTGACCTTGCCCTTGCCTTTCTCTTTCATAGTAGCCCTTGGCTTCAATGCCGCAAATGAAGACCCTCGAGTCTTGGCCATGCCCACTACACACGTACTTAATACAATAACAAAGATGATACAAGCCCAAATCCATGAGAGCAAACCATTGGATGTAGAACCAAATGACCTCCTAGCCATCATGTTGAAAGCCTAGGGTTTGGGGTTTTGAGTGAGATGACGATGGAAGTGGGGTAGGAGATTTGGGAGGTGATTTGAAGGATAAGTATTTAGAATAGTAGTTTCGGTAGCCTAGGGAGAGAATGAGAGAGTGGGTTAGTATTTTTATAATTGAAATGCAAATAAAACCAACCAACTCCCCTTTTAAAATGCCAAAAAAAAAATCCAAGGCTTGTTCAACCAGTTCAAACCATTTTTCCCCTTGAAAAACTGGTACAAGTCCAACCAATTAACCAAGTTTTTTTTTTTTTTTTTTTTTCTTCTCCTTATTTAAATGACCCTAATGTTTTCTAAACCCTATTTACATGCCTAAGACACCTACTACTCCCTTGCATAAAAAAAGTTAATTAAAATACACACAACATGTAACAAAATTACAAATTTCCTAGGATTCAAGATGCATTTCAATTAAAGACACTAAACAAAACCCTAAAGCCACTTTCTTAGGGTACACGATTGCATTTAGCAAATGTAATAAGCATTTAAACCCTCAAGTCACTCGTAGTGGACAAGTTGTGTCTCGTGAAGATTTCTAATGAAGGTACCTACAAACTTCTTTTATTACATCCTAGACTTGGAACATATTACAATATCCTAATTAACTAAAACTAAAACTCCAATCTAAGACTAAAACTAAAACTCCAATCTAAGACTAAAACTAAAACTCCAATATAAGACTAAAACTAAACAAAAAGATCCTTATATAGATGTGTATGTATATATAACACTCCTCTTCTTTCTCCTCATTGACCATGGTGTGTGGTGTGGGTGGTGGGTGATCTCCTAAAAAAGTTTCCTTTACCGATGTCGTCCAATAGAAATGCTCATGTGATGTGTTGGAGGTGCCAAGACTCAGTCAAAGTAAAGCTTCTAGGGATTGGTAGCCTTCCTCAAGGTGTGTGAGTTGATAGGAGAAAGCTTCATGGCAATGGAATCCCATGACATTTCGCTTGCTTCCACGTATTCCTCTTCCCCTCCTTTAAACCTACAAACCCAAAAACACATAATTACTCCAATCTTAACATAATTCAAAAAATTAAACATGAAACACATGCTTAAAGTGGATGGATTAAACTATAATATACAATGTTTTGCGCTCAACATAGCATTGCTGAGCAGCTTCAAAGATATCAACTAAAAATTAACCCCTTAAAATATGCCTTTGGCTACCTCCAACAAGTTCCTTGGATTCAATGCCAAACATCGAAGTATTAAGACTGATCAATTAAAAATAGATGTCATCTTGAAGATCTTGAGCCTGGTAATCTACATGAGCTAAAAAGTCTTCAAGAAAGGCTCACTTGCATAAGAAGATTTATCTCAAATCTCGTCAAACAATGTCATTTGTTCAACAAACTGAAAAATGAAAGATACCACTTTCAAATGGGATCATGCTTGTAGAACTACTTTTGAAAACATCAAGCAATAATTTTTCCATCCCCTAGTTCTTGATGCACCAAGTAAAGGAAAGCCATTCATTCTTTACATTGCTTCCCAATAACAATCATTGGCGCACTCTTACCACAAATCAATGACGAAGGAAACAACAATGCACTATACTATTTGATTCAGACGTTAGTAAGTGTCGAACTAAACTACTCACCTATTGAAAAGATGTGTCTTGCATTAGTCTTTGCTAAAAAAAAGTTAAAACATTAGATATTGGCACATGTCGTCCACCTCATTCCAAAATCTGATCCTGTTAGGTACATCATGTCAAGGTTATTTCTCTCGAGAAGGTTGGCCAAGTATGCACTTCTGTTGTTTGAATATGACACAGTTTTTGTTCCACAAAAGGCAATCAAAGGACAAGTATTGACTTCTTTTTTTTTTTTGCAAAATACTACTATCCATGCGGATTGGGAACTACCAAAAGAATTCCTAGATAAAAAAGTTTTCTTTACTAGGTTCATACCCTTTTGGAAGTTATATTTTGCTGGTTCTGCTCCAAGATATAGAGTTGGCATTGGTGTGGTGTTTGCCACCCCTAAAGATGAAGTCTTGCCTTACACAATCACCTTGACTGAGTCATGCTCCAATAACGTAGCAGAGTACCAAACTTTAATCATTAGCTTGGAAATGGCGCTTGACATGCAGCTCTCTCTCTCTCTGTGAAAAATCTATGGAGATTTAAAGTTGGTGGTTCATTAGGTTTTGGCATTGTATGATCTTTGTAAACCTGACTAATTGTCATACTATCGTTATGCAACTCAACTTATGAGTCTGTTTAATTGAGCCACCATTATAAATGTATCACATGATGAAAATATATACATTGATGTTATTGCTAATATTATTATTGTACTTAAAAAATCCTATTACCATATAATTTTGGTTCTAATTTGTCAATGATAGGTAATACCTTCTTTGTAACCTAAAATAAAAGAAGTTAAAACCATTTAAGTGGTGTAAGTTAAAAATGAAGATTGCCTCTAATTGACTATTTGCAATATGGGAGATTATCAAATGATCCATGCCATAGAACTGAGATACGACAACGAACTCCTCAATTTGTTTATTATAAAGGCACATTGTACCATCACTCTTGTTGATGGTTTGTCCCTTTGATGCTTGGATGAAGACAAACCTGCTAAGGCACTAGAAGAAGCTCATTCTGGAACATGTGGTGCTCATCGGTTAGGGTCTAAAATACATTGCCACATAAAAAGAATGGGGTATTACTGGCCCACTGTGGTATAGGACTCGATGAGTTATGCTAAGAAAGGTTAAGTTTTCCAGTGACATGTCAACTTCATTCACAAACCACCTGAGCCGTTGCATCCTATGGTTGCACCTTGGCCTTTTGATGCATGGCGACTTAATCTAGTGGGGCCTTTAACTCCTAAGTCATCAGTTGGTCATCTTTACATCTTAGTAGCAACAAACTATTTCTCCAAGTGGGCAGAAGTAGTTCTCCTTAAAGAAATGTAGAAAGAGAATGTTGTTGTGTTCATCAAGGTAAACATCTTATACTAATTTGGTGTACCGTATTACATTATCACCAATAATAATGGCAAGCCATTCTACAATAGCCTTATAGATAAGCTATACATTAAGTGTGGGTTTGTACAACATAATTCATCTAGGTACAATGCACTATCCAATGGGCTCACTGAAAGTTGTCTCCAAATCAAAAAAAGCATCGGCATTTGATGAAGAAAGTTGTCTCCAAATCAAAAAAGCATTGCCATAAAAGGGTTGGTGAAGCTCTCTAGGCATACAGAACTACAAACCAAACTCCAACACAATCTACTCCATATTCTCTTATGTATAACATTGAAGTTATTCTTCCTCTAGAACATCAAATCTCCTCCATGCGGATTGCTTTACAAGAAGAACTCACAAATGAAGAAAATGTATGTTTATGTTTAGATGAGCTAGAAACACTTGATGAGAAAAGGATAGATGCACAACAAAGCCTGGAAGGTTATCAAGCTAGACTTTCCAAAGCTTTCAACAAAAACGTTCGTGTCCAGTCATTCCAAGTAGGAGATTTGGTCTTTGTAATTTGAAGGTCTATCGTTATTTTGCATCACACTGGTAAAAAATTTATGCCAAAATGGGATGGTCCATATATGGTCAAAGAAGTCTACACCAATTGTGCTTACAAGATAGTTGATAAAGATGGTTTGAATATCTCCCCAATCAATAGGAAGTTCCTGAAGCACTTCTATGCCTGAAAGTAGCTCGTTCCTTGGTGTACAAGCCTATACTGCTTGTTACTCTTGGCCCGCTTGAGTTACAACTATGTACGACAAAAAAAAAAAAAAAACCCTTTTGGTTCCTTGCTTGCTTGAACTAAAACTATATACGACATAACCAAAAAAATATTTATTTTTTATTCCTAACCCTAATGAGTTAAAACTATGTACGACATAACCCAAAAAAAAAATTACTTTTTGTTCTTGGCTCTTATAAGCTAAAATTGTGAATGGCCCAACCAACATAAATAAATAAGGTCCATTAGAAATTACGCTTAGCTTAATATTTTTTTCAAGATATCTACGTCATTTGAGAACCAAATTTCAATTCGAAAAATAGTAACCTTATAATAAAAAAATCTTTTTTGTCCATATTTCCAAAAAAAATTACAATTGAAGAGTTGTGAGTTCATAAAAGTTTCTTGACCCAATCAATTAAAGCTAGTGCGATGAATTCCTTCTCTAATATGGATCTCATCTGGTTCATAGCTTATATTTCCTTAATGTTGCGAATGTGAGACTCTTGGAGTTCAACACGCTCTTAATCCATCAACTCAATAATCTCTTATGTTTTTTGTTGTTCGTCACAAATGAAGTCAATCCTAGATGCCACTTTGGTTCTTTGATCTTTGCAATCATCAGATCTCATCATTAATGCTCAAAAATTCTACCTTGGATTTTGATAATTATTCAGTTAATCCAAGAATCTTGAATTATCCTTTCGATATCGTGCTATCAATTTTGGCATGTTTTTCCTCTAAAGTGGTTATGTTTGAAATTGCTTCCAAAGCATGGGAAATTATATCATATAGTAACTTAAAAAATACCGAGGTCGTCTCCACAAAGAAAACAAAGACAAATTTGAATGCTGATATGATCGAACAAAAATACAAATATTTTGGTTTTCAAAGATGATGATGATTGGTAAGACTAAGAAATAATATTCAAATAAACTGGCACATCGTTGAATTTTATTCCACCATGAATAGGAATTTTCACCCAATTTATAACTCATCCAATTGAAAAGCAAGTATTTCAATCAACAAAATAACTCTAAGAATTGATACCTTGTTAGGGTCAAATCACTCATTCATGGATGAGAATCCCTCCTCTAATTATGTTGGGATTAAACTACTCACACATATTGCATGTAGAATTGAA